TGTTATTTTTCTTTGGGTTCTTTCCTCCTCCAAACTTGTTTGCCATCATAGCAAAGTTGTTGTGATCATTGTGCAAATTTCTCTGCTGATTTTCAAGCAAGGCTTCAAAAGCAATTAATTCAGAGTGGAAATCATTTAATGTAATCGACTTCTCACGTTGTGCAAAATAGACATTGGATATGAAGAGAGTGAATGATGAGTTGAGTCCTCCCAGAATATGAGAGATTAAGTCCTCATCAGTCACGTATTTTCCCACAGCGGCTAATTGGTCTGCAAGAACCTTAGCACCTTCAACAAAATCAGAACAACTTTTGCCTCCTTGCTGTAGACTTTGCAGTTGACGTTTGAGTTGATTCACATTTGAGGATGAGGAAGAAGCATAACGATTTGCCACAGCAAGCCATGCTTGCCGAGCAGATTTGAGACCATAGACTAAGGACAGTATCTTCTCTGAGATCGTGGACTTCATCCACACTAATACAAATCGATTTTTTTTGTTCCATATGATAAACTTCGGATTAGAAACAGGAGCAGCAGTCCCTACAACAGGTAGGAACTCTTCTGGGCATGGTTCAGTACCATCCACAAAACCCAGAAGACCATGGATATCAAGGGCACCTTCGACTTGGGAAGACCAGTTTAAATAAGATGATGGTCCATCAAGTCTCACCGAGACAAACTGAACAAGATTGTTAGGTGGAATGAAGGTAGTAGCGGAAGACATTATTGTAGGTAGGATTAGACGTTAGCCAAATATGGCTCTGATACCATGAAAGAAATGATAAGAAAGGCTTGGTAAATCATACCAAAGCCATATGTTTACTACATATTTATAGGAGCAATATTTACAGATTTGAAACATTCACATCCTCTAATGTAGCAAAATTACAGTAAATAATTCCTACAAATAATTCTATTGCCATGCTGGACATATGGCAGATTTGGAGCCTTCATCATTGCTAATATCAATCAACATTGCTAGTACTTTTATGAGAATTGGGAACAGGAATGGAAGGTTGCTGTCTAACAGTTTGTCTCCACCAAAGCCGTCGAGGTAAGCAATGTTCAGAGGCAAGGTCAATTTCTTCAAACCCCATTCTTCGGGTTTGGTTTATGCATTTTGTTAGAAACTCTAGAGGAAGTGTATTATTGGAAGTTGTTTAGTGGTGGTAGTGGTAGAGGTGGAGGAAGAGAGGGTCGGAGACAGGTTTCGATTTTCAATTTTTTGCAATTATTTTTTTTAACTTGTAAGTGAAAAATTTTATTTTATTGGTTTGGCTCATGTTCCAAGAATCGACAAAGTTTCATGTTGGCACCCAGTTTCTAATTTTCTATTGCTAGTATTCCTGCTTGAACTATCCCACGACGACTTCATTTCGGAAGTAAACAAGAATCAGGTCATTCAAAATATAAGTCTATTGCCTAGCATTTCTCTTACCCACAATTTCTCTCAACCACGATTGAATTCTATTGCCGGTGTTCCGGCTTGAACTATCAATAGTGGCTTCATTTCGAAAGCAAACAAGAAGTTAAAATCGTCATTAATTTGAGGAGATGACGGACAAAGATATTTTCCTTCCTCATTTTAATGTGATACTGGTGGGTGAAAAAATGGGAGTGATGTCAAATTTGCAAGCTAGATACTATATTATTTCAATTGTGAATATGCCTAAAATCTGCAAACCAATTATCGAATCCATGTTTTATAGAAAAATCTGTCAAACCCAAAAAAAGTTTCATGCAGATGTTTTGTTCTCTTAATTAGATTTGAGATGAACTAGCTATGAGGTTTATATATATAAAAGAATGGAAATTTATATGTAGATAATTTTGTTCTCTTAAGTTCATTTTTTTATCGCTGCAAAAAGAATTTTGGAAGAGGTGGATGACGATATCTTATTACAATCAAATAATGACAACATTTTGGACAGCATGAACTTAATGGATGATGAAATTGTAGGAGTAGATGGTATGATTGTGTTTGAAGTAGGTACGAAGTTCAACGATGAAAAGAAGTGTTTGAATTTTACAAAAGATATGCATATGATGTCAACTTTCCAGTTAGAAAAAGAAATTTGCAAAATGGTGATGATGAAATTGTAGCTGTGAAAGCCGAAAAAGTAGTAAAAGCGGTTCTTTGAAGCTACAAGCTACCATTCAGACAGGTTGACTGCATCTGCAAATGTTTGCAGAATATGGAGAATTAATACAATCAATCTCATTTTACAATCATAAAACAAGTCCTTCGAAGTCCAAGTTGTATCATTGCAACCGACAATTAAGTGCCCATGTTAAATGACGACTTGAAGTTAACGATATGACAAGAATTTCGTAGCACAAAAGTTACATCTTCATAGTCGTAGAAGTATGAGATTATGACTTGAATAGAAAAAATTGTCGAAACTATATTAAACAAGTGAGGCGATTAAGATTTGGAGAAGAATATGTCACAGCAATACAAGTCTAATTTTCGAATATGCAAACAAGGTGCTCAGGTATTTTCTTTAGTAGGGATTTAGATTAAGAGCCGGGGTTGAAGAATATTTTTTGGACAGATAATAGAAATATGCAAGCATATAAGGAGTTTGACGATGTTATAATATTTGATACTACATACCTAACTAATGAGTATGATATGTCATTTGCACCTTTTGTTGGAGTAAATCATCATGGACAATCAACACTCCTTGTTTGTGGTTTGGTGTTAAATGAAAATATAGAAATATTAGCGTGGATTTTGAAGACTTGGCTTCAATGCATGCATGGACAAGCTCTCCTTGATATAATTATCGATTAATTGTGTTTCCAAACACGGAATGTGGATGGTGTTTGTGACACATATTTAAGAAGTTATCAAAGAAGTTTGGATATCACGTGATAAGGGTGAGATCTTTTCTACTATAAATATACTGGTGTATGATACTGAACCATTGAAGAGTTTGAAGAATGTTGGACAGCGATGATAGATAAATACAACTTGTATGAAATTGACAAGTTGTCAGGAATGTACACGAACAGAGGTCGTTGGGTACCTTACTATTTAACAAGCAGCTTTTGGGTAAGAATATCAACAACTCGACGCAGTGAAAGTATGAATGCAATGGTATGTGCAATCCAAAACGTCGCTGAAGCAATTGTCGAACAACATGAGCAAGCTTTGAGAAATAAGGTAGAGAAGGAGTTTCGAGCAGATTTCAAGTCTTACTCGTAAATAGTGCCACATGCAACGAAGTACGTGCTGGAGAAGCAATTTCAACTAGTTTATATCACTTCAAAATTTAGGAAAGTTCGAGATGAGTTAATGGGAATGGTTTATTGTTACCTCATATCTTTGTTGAAGGGCCTTTTGGAGACGATGTATGAGGTCTTGGAAGATTGATAATTGAGTTAAGAAAATGAAATTTTTCATCACATTTCAGATAGAAAGAATGTGAAATTGTTTGCAGTTGCCACTTATTTGAGTTTCAAAGAATAATTTGCAGGCATGCAATCGCTGTACTTCTCCATTATAACGTTAGATCACTACTTGACACCCACACATTATAAAGATAAATGAGAGATGTGAGTAAAGCCCAAACCAGGGTTGCTGTGAATTACGATGGCTTGAGTAGCACTACTGCCCAGTTGAGCTATGACAAAATATGTAAATTAGTTATTTCGTATGCGTACATGGCTGCAAATGATGACGATCAAACCCGTACAGTAATGGAGTTAATAGAATGCAAAAAATGAACAGTAAAGATGACGAGGTCGAGTTGTCGAAGTAATAACATGTCCTAACAAGCTTTTCAGACAGTATTAAATGGTGGAGCATCACAGCATAACGGCAAGGGATGTGTACAGAATCCAAAATGCTCGAAGAAACTTCAGAAGAAAATCCCTTTGAAATCGAATTGCAGTAAAACAAAGGTATATTTCCAATTTATTTTATTTTATACGAAAGTGCGTATGAGTATTAATTATTCATCTGTTATGCAATCTTATCTGACTTCAGCCAAAGGAAGGAGGCCGAAGGTAGTCCAAAGTAAATTGGGATAAGTTGAACTAACCATCCAGGCACATGATCAAGGATCATAATACAAGTCGGCACCGGTCTCACATTCACAACTTTTGCTAGTTTGTCTAATTCAATTGATCACTGGATATGATTTGTACGTTTTAGTTACATTATATTATGGGATTGGGTAATGGCAACAGTCATGTATTTACACAACAAGGAATGTCTCCTTATTTCATCTCATCCACTTCAATAAGTGTTATATTATATGATCAAGGTAATGATATGGTTAAATATACGTAATTTATTTCAAATCACACTCTAGTTTGTGTAATAACTTTTTTAATTGACAATCGAAAATGAAATGTCTTAATACTATCCAAATTTACCTCACCAACATGGCGCAAACTTGTGATGTTGGATGAAGAGAATTGATGGACATATATTCACAGTGTAATTATATGAACATATTGTAGATTGATGCCTAATTTGTAGTAAGCGGATTCTAATTTTTGTACCTGGTTTTCTTCTTAGTGTTTGCTATTTCATGTTTGTCTGTTCGTGTATCTTGTTTTAAATTTCTTTATGTATGTTAATTAAAGAATTTCTTATTAGGACATTGAAGAAACTAGATTGAAATGAAGATTAGGAGTTGGGCAAGTTGTGAGGGTATATAAGTTTTAATTTTTCCCAGATGAAGATTATGAATTTTTCTTTTTAATCATACTTTCATTACCGCATTATAATGTTTCATTTGGATATGTAGAGATAAAATAATCTTCTCTTTCCTTTATCCCACCTCTCTGTTTCTCTATTGGGTAGAATAAATTGAAGTTCATCGATCTCAGTTATTCAAAAAAAATGGTGAAAAGTCCAGATTTCAACAAAATGTATCAAACTGAATGAAGTTATAATATCCTGAAATTAGGTTAGGCTTTTCACAGGTAAAATTAGAAGTCACCTATATGTATTCAAATTGATCAACCTCGTGACATATTGATGAATGTTGACTCACATATGTGATTTTTGAGAAGTTCCAGCCAATTTTGTGGAAATGAAGCAATGACAAAAAAAGTGATGTATATCATAAACAAAATCTCTTAAAACAATTCTTATGGTAACACAACCATCCAATAGGTCATTTTCTATCTCTGAGAAGTTCCTCAATTAATAAACCAGGCTACCTTATTGATTAACCAAACGTCTTAATTGACAATAACATTGCACTGATAATGTAGTTTGGGACAATTTCAAATTCTTCATAGAACACAAATTGTAGTCCACTAATATCAACACCAAATTGTCAACATAGCAATTCAAACATAAAAAACGAATACATTACAATGACTTCTTGAATTCACCAACTACACATATTACACATCAACTACACATAACACTACACGTATTGCACATCAAAAGCGGTAGCAATGCATCCTAAGAAAATTTAATCACAAATCATGCCAGCCCCTTCCCTTTCTTTCCGTTGGCCATGCTTATAGTCACATTCAAAGAAATATTAATGTTTTGTTCTTCAGTTATACGACGAAGAGATTGGAATATGCAAGAGAACTGCTGAACTTCTTCAAGGGCCGCATGATTATTCAAGTAAACAGTAGCAGTACTTGATCCGTCACTTGATTCTCCCTCGTCCACCCATTCCCAATATTTACAGTTAGTATTGCAGCAATTGAACAATTTTTCCTTGTTCTTCATCTCCCTTTTGACCTCAAAGCAGTTCACAAGGCAATCCGCAAAAAAGTGCTCATTCTCTCTACAGCTATGACGGAGTCCAAAATTATTTCCTGGCATACTACGTACAAACGAAGCACATATTACAATACATTAGACAACAACCACACAACACTGAAAAATTGACAAATTTGCAAAACTCATACTCCATTAATTTTCTTCTTCCAACATTGTTCGACAAACTATTCTACTAATTCAAAACATTAGTTACTCATTACATCTGAACTACAAATGAGCACAATCAAAATTGAAAAATCTTAAACAATCTTTTATAGACTCCTAATATCAGGTTCTTCAGATAAGTCGGAATAAAGTTGGGATTTTTTCTTATTATACGTTAGGTTATATTGGTTAAAACTATAATTATTTGACCACGGTAAAAAGCGAGGATTCTTTAGACCAAATATCTAACTTACATAATGTTTGCTAAAGATTTCGCTAGAGGAGATGGCATCGACGATGGACAATCTTTCTGCACACGGTGGGCCTCTCGGCTCTCTCTTACGGCTGAAAAAAAACTGTTTAACAACCGTCCAATTAACTTAAGGTGAGAAACCCAAAAATGGAGACGATCACTAAGTTAAGCACTGACTTCTTAATATGGCCGAGATGGAGGATTGTGGCGTCAATTCTCCTCGAAGAGTTGTTTCGCCTCAGAGGTTTTCTCCGTATTTGGGGGCAAATGAAAGTGATAAAGGTTTCTTTCACTTTGCACTGGTTCAAAGACTTGACCCTTTTTTTTAGAGTAATGTTATTCGTAGTGAAGACTGCCAGTAGTCGTCCTATGTGGTATATACTTGACAATTTGTTATTTGATACATGGATATGGTAGTTATTTTTTGAATTATATATTAAATAAGAAACTGCCAAGTATACGTCACATAGGGCGACTGTCGATAGTCTTCACTGCAAATAGTATTATTCCTTTTTTTTAATTTCTTTTGCCACGTCACTGTGTCATCAGTCGAGTAAACAAAAGGGTACGCATAGCGGCATTAAATTAATTATTAGAGAGCTTTTTACATTATTGGATTGTGCTACATATACATAATCGCATATATATACATGATGTTGTAGAGATATGATTATTCAATAAAAAACTTCCCTACTTCATTTTTTGACAATTCATCGGTGTACAAATTATTATGTAACTCCATTATGTACAAGAGCATCATACCCCTTTTAGAGAAAGTCAGGCTGATTTTCTCTAAAAGCTTTTTCGAGCATGTTTGAGCCCAATTTTCTTGTCAAAAATACATTTTGGAATAGTGATTTTATGAAGAATGTGTTGTTAAAAATTAAGAAAAAGTTTTGAGTTTACGCGAAATATTATTTTACAAAAAATGTGCTATTGAAAATAAGAGAAGGAAAAATATATTTTAAAAATAATGGGAACTAGACAAAGGCTAATTAGAAAAAAAAAACTTTCATAAAATGTGTCAAACACGTCCAAAATCAACTTTTAAGCATAAAAACATTTTTTGGGTTCTCAAAAGCCATGTGAAACGGTCCTTAGAAACCTTTGATTGACATCCCCAACCAACTTAAACCAAATCGAATCAAAAGTGAACCTATTTAGTCTGATTCTGATTAATTTTGAAACAGTTACCTTAGGTGTTTTAAAAGTTGTAAAGGAAGAATAGAAGACAAGGCCAAACTACAAGTACAGAAGTCTACGAATAAAAATATATGGGTAAAACATACAGTTAAAATAAGTTTAATCATTTATAAATGACATATAAAATTCCCACCGCCTAAGTGACGATCAATTTCAATATATTTAGTTCGTGAAAAGTGAGATTAGCATCAATCGGTACTGTTGCCTTGTTGTCACAATAAAGATGCAATGGTTGAGGGTGATGGACTTCAAAAATCTCCAAGTAAATGACATGATACTTAGCTTCTGCTGATGAGTGCGATATTGTTGATTGCTTCTTCGATTACATTCTCCATCTAACATATTCTATTTCAAATTATGTCCCACTTGAGTTTTTGAAGGGCGTTTCGAGAAGTCCGAACTCTTCAAGTAGTTGAAGACTTAAATATATCCCATTCTTAAAACGTGCTACTTCAGTGGCGAGGAAATATCTCAACTTTCCATTATCCATGAATTTAAAACTGTTATGCAGTCTCTCCTTTCATTGCATGGATTCTTACGAGATCATTGCCATCATAGACAAGAATGTCTGTGAAAGAAGTGTTTGAGGCCTGATTAAACAGGGAACAAACTGCTTTAGATTGTTTGTATCGTGAAGACATCATTGTAGTAGATGGGTTGGCAGACCATTGACGTGAAGATTGGTTGAGGCCATAAAGAGATTTTTGAAGCTTGCAACCCATGTTCTTGGTTATTTGATGACTGAAACCTAGCGGAATTTGCATATACACTTCATATATAACTCTCCACGATGAAAGGCATTGCTTATGTCAACTAAGCAACTCATAGCTGTAAGTTTAGCAACGGGAAAGTCTCTTGGTAATCAGTTTCCCATTGCTGGTTATAACCTTTGACCACTAATGCGCGCCTTGTAACACTCGAGGATGCCATCTGATTTATGATCCAAATAATTTACAAGACACAAAAGGTTGTCTAATAATTTGAAGAAAATAATCTTAGAAATTAGCTTCTTTAACTAATTAAATATAATATAGCATTCTGCGGCCTAAGTTGTTCAATAAATAAAGGGGTACGAGTCCTAATTTATATGATGTAATACTTGCACTTATTCCATCATGGCAAAAGTCTAAACTTAGTATATGAATAAAATCTCAGCGCAGGCCAAAAATTTGAAGTTAATCAAGTATGAATATTACGTGAAAAAAAATTTATGAATTCTTAAACATTATATTATCGTTTTTTTTCTTGAAACAAGCTTAAAATTGGGAATCATTAATGGGGATAAAATATCGATATGGGAACTTGGGGGTTTTATACTTGGAATTTAGGAAATTTAATAGTTCCTTAGGAACTTCGGCGTTTTATAGTGCAGTCATTTGTATGAGAAACACAAAAGAAACTAATTGATCATAATATAGCAGAACACGAAATGGAAAAGAAAAACCATACGTTAGATTAATCTGGCCAAATATCTCGAATATTTACAAATTGTTAAAAAAAAATTCTAAAAGCAAAAGATGCTAAACAAATTCTATCAATAAAAAGTAAAAGATGCTAAACTAACTCTATCATCTAAAAGAAAATCATCTAACTTGCTGTAACTGGTTCTGTGGTGAGTCCATAACCAATAGGGAAGAGTGGATCATAGTGTGAATCGCCAACATTCATGGGGAGCTGATCTACTGTCTTGAACCAAGTCCTGGAAGACTTACCGGTGAATACATAGTCCCCAAAGAGGACATCAGCCACCCCGTTGCCTTCTGTTCCTGGTAGCCAAGCAGCTACTAATGCATCGATGTGTTTAAGGTAAGGTTGAATCACCAAAGGTCGACCAGATACAAGAACAACCACACACTTGACATTGCCACAAACATTCTTGATTGTGTCTAAACCTTGTTGAGGAATAGTAAGATTTGAATTGTCACCTGCAGATTCAGCATAGGGAGGTTCTCCTACCACAACCACGGCATAGGAAAAGTTATTGGATTTTACAAAATCCTCGTCCGGGCTTTCGCTGTAGGCGATTTCTGTACTTGGATGGACTGCAGTTGAGATCCCGTTAAAAATTGTGGTTCCGACAGTCTGGTCGTTGCCACCTTGTCCTTGCCAAGTTATTGTCCAACCACCACATTGAAATCCAAGATTGTTAGCATGGCTTCCAGCAACTAAGATTTTGGATGCCTTTTTGGGTAGTGGAAGGACAGGGTTATCAGTGTTTTCTCCATTCTTCAATAATACAAGTGATTTCCTTACAGCCTCCCTTGCCAAATCTCTGTGAGCCTGTTTAAGGGTCAAATTATATTTTAATCGTGTACTTTCGGTTTGCACGACTTGACAATACAATGAATTAGATTTTAGCTTTTTTGTTTTTAACTAACCTGGCTTCCAAGTTGATCGACTAAACTATGATCAGCCATGGGATTCTCAAAGAGGCCCATGCTGAATTTGACTCCCAATATCCTTCTGACAGCATCATCTATCCGGCTGATTGGAACGAAGTTGTTGTTCACCAAAGAGGTTAAAGTATCAATGAATTCTGTGTGGTTGAGAGGAACCATAACCTAAACGTGTCAACATGGAAAATTTTGCGTTAGCATATGATGCACAGATTTTGCAATCACGAGATTCTAACTTACCATATCAATGCCAGCGTTAATCCCTGTTAGAACTGAGTATGTATAATTGGCATGTTGTGGATAGGTGATTTTGTCTATTCCTTGCCAATCTGAGATGACAAATCCCTAGAAATTGTAGCAAATTTGAAAAATTATTAGTGGGAGATACATCAGTATGTTTTCTTCTAATAGATTGACTATAAATTTGCTGAATCATTTGAAGCTATACCCGGAATCTCAAAGTGCCTTTGAGGAATTTGGTGACAAGTTGATGATTTGCATGCATTTTGACTCCATTTAGACTTGAATAGGATACCATGACTGTTGACACACCCTTGATGATTGAATTATAGTATGGTGGCATATGAATGCTTAGCAATTCATGCCAGTTAGTCACAGTATTGTTCATATTAATTCCTTTTGTCGTTCCACCATCTCCAACGTAATGTTTTGCACAAGCTGCAACCTTAGTACTTTTTCACGTACATACAAAAAAAAAGGTACATTAGAGAAATTTTGAACAAGGTGCCGATTACGCAATGTTAGTGTACTTGTTTGAATTACTTAGAAAGTATACTTACTTTCCACCAACATAAGGAACACCTTTTGGTGAATTAGGAGGGATATCTCCTTGTAAACCTGGAATGATTTCCGTCATATCTTGAACAATTTTAGGATCCTCACTATAACTCTCATAACACCTTCCCCACCTCGGATCTCTGCATACCTATTAATTGTAGAATTGAACTTGGATTAGTTTGTGAAAATTAAGGTTTCAAAAAATTGTAAGAGGAATATTGTCTACCGCAATGCATGGAGCAAAGACATAAGGTATGCCGGTAGCTCTGGCTTCAAGGGCAGTTGCAGCACCAATCCTCTTCACAAGATCGTTATCTCTGCACAATGAAAAAACAGACACGCTGTAAATATGATATTGCGCGACTCATTTCATTACCAGATTATGGTACTGACCTAGTTGCTCCTAGGCCAACATTGTGGGGAAATATTGTAGCCTTGTAAACATTGTTGTGGCCATGAACAGCATCAATCCCATAAATCATAGGAATCCCAAGTCTGCTAGATAAAGAACCTGTCTGAAATCCATTTACCATATCCATCCACTCCTCGGCAGTGGCCTGTTCACGTGGCACGCTCCCGCCACCGCTTAGGAGGCTACCGATGGAGTAATCTCTCATGATCTCTGGCGTGGCAGCACGGCGATCAATCTGTGCCATCTGGCCGATTTTCTCTTCGAGGGTCATTTGGTCCATGAGAACCTTAATGCGAGTATTCATGGGCTGGTTTGGATCCTTGTATAGCATGTTCAACTTCGAGCCTTGTCCCCTTGCTGATGCACATAAGAGTAGAAGTCCCAATATTGGGACTAAATACCTTGAAAACATTGCTTCAAAACTTGATTACGTTCTGAAAAAATAAGATAGAGAGTTAATAAAACACAAAACTTGTCGAAATATAGATAGATGAACAAAGGGAACTCACGCTGAGGAGAGAAAACGTATCTAATCAAGAAGAATTGATGATTATATACGTAAACGGTTGTATTGCTTTAGTTTATATAGGCATGCAAGTTCATAGTGTTCATGTATAATTAGGATATCTGCTTGACTTCAAATCCAAATTCGATCAGACCCCTAAAAGGTTTAGGCGTTCTCGCACAAATTTAATTAGGAATGTTTATCCAATTTGGATGATAATGCAGTTTAAATTGAATAGTATTAGTTACTCAATTAACTTCTTTGTGCACTTCGTATTAATGCAGTTTAAATTGATTAATATTTATTACTCAATTAACTTCTTGTGTACTTCGTATTAGTCAAACACAATTTTTTTCTTTTTCAAAATTTATTCTTGGCCCGTGTTTGGCGTAAATTAAAAGTTGATAAAATTCATGTGTCATTGTTAATAATTAAATTTAACCATGTATTTTATGGAAACACAACTTCTCAAACAAGGGCATATACCGTTATCTATTCTCTAAGACATTGTAATGTGTTTGAATTTATTTAAAGTTATTTTTTTTTAAAAACGTGTTTTTTAGAAAATTATATTTGAAAAATTAAATAATTTTAAAGTCAAATTAATTTAAACGAAAACAAAGTTTGGTAACTATTTGAAACTAGAGAAACCAAAAAATAAAATAAAATAAAATAATCATTATATTTGGAAAAATAAATAATTTAAAAGTAATTTAAAGTTAATTTGAACACAACTAAAGATTTAACTCTTCGAAACTAAAAACCGGAGAAAAAATTACTTTCAACTAACGTGTTTTAACATAATCTTATAACCACCATATTTAGATAAAATATTGATTTTCATACTTATTTTTAAAATTGAATACTATTCTTTATTAAAAAATTAAGTACTGCTCAAAATTCAAAAGAAATGCATTGCGTCGATTTCATACTCAAGTTAAAAAAAAAAAAAAAAAAAAAAAAAAAAAAAAAAAAAAAAAAAAAAAAAAATTGAAGTTACAATTCATATCATGCAAATCAAAATTCAAACGAAACATAATAAAAAATGGATTCATTTCAAGTAAAAGATATCATAATGTTGGTGTGGAGACTACTTCATCGTGGTCTACGATTTTGAGAAACTTTGAAACCATGTGTTCGGTTTTATATTTCAATAATTAGTTGATGTGGGGGTTTATTTTTAACATGTCCATGCAAGATAATGGTTCCTTTGGACATACCAATCTTGAAATTCATCACGGATGTGTTTGCATGATGCTAAAGACCATCATTTTGTGTATAAGTTCAATTTCTCTCATAAATACCCTACTTGTTTCCTATTCTTTCTCGATTAAAATGAAATGTATGACCGTTATCCATTACATCAAATCACCAAATTT